TCCTTAATGAAAGAAAAAACACCCATTCTTCTGCCAAATCTCCATGTATAAACATAGCATTCCATCACATCCTGCACATTTCCATGAATGCTTCAATTCTCTGACCCCCTTTTCCTCTGTCTCCTCAAACCTCAAATATCCTTTCTGCCCTTCCTTATAATGCTGCCTTTCATTCACTGAGAAATTAGAAGCAATTATAGGAGAACTATCTCCCTTTTGCATCTAAAAATCTACCATCTTACTTGCATTTTTAGCCATACATTCAACTCCCTTAGCTGTTTCGGTAGATAAATTATCCCTGCTTTTCTAAGCCCAGCCTGTTTTCTCTCATTACTCAAGGTCTTACCTCCTTAAATATTCCCTATCAATATTCAACAGCATGCAGCTGTATTGTCATAGCTGCCATCTTTTTAAAAAAGAAAGAAAAAACATGGCCCCATGAGTCCTTCCGGCCACACCGCCATTTTTGTGTGGCCTCCGTCACAGAAAAACTCAAAGATCTCTCTATATTTGATTCTTTTACTTCTTCATCCATTGTCTCTCTACAAACAGTTTTATTATGAAATATAACACTCATATAATTTAGAGAAGAATATTACAACAAATACTTGTATTTGCCTTATCCAGCTAAGAAACAGAACATTGGCTATATTTTAAAATTCCCTTAAACACTTCTCCCTGATCAAATCCCTCTCCCCCTCCCTGCCAGATGTTACCCCTACACTAAATGTGATATGATCCTTCTCATGCTTTTCTTCATGACTTTATATATAATATCACATACATATATACATATGTATACATACACATATATACATATATGCACATAGTATATACTAGTATACATATATAGATTTGCATTTTAAAACATTTTGAAAATGAAACAGTATTTCATATTTATATTTTTCTGTGTCCTATCTCTTTCATTCAGCATTACATTTAAGATCCACTCATGTTTGGAGTAAAGCAATGAATTCATTTTCACTGCTATAATACTCCATCATATGAATATATCACAACTTATATATCCAGTCTATGATTGGTGATCATGTGAGTTGTTTCAGCTGATTTTGCTAATATCGGCCATGTTGCTATGAGAACTCTTAATATGTGCATCATGGTGTACATGGGCAAACATTCCAATGCTTAAGAGAGGAATTGCCAAGTCAAAGAGAATGCATATGATGCCAACTCTCTCCAAGGTAGAGCAGCCAGTTATAACAATTCCTGTAGCCCCACATTCTCAACACCTCGTGGTATGGACAGACTGTTTAATGCTGGCCATTTTTTTTAGTGGCATCTTATTGTGGCAAATATTTTGCATTATTCTGATCATGACTGGAGTGGCTCATCTTTTTATGTTTTTAGTGAGTCATTATATTTCTCCTTTTGTGCCTATTCATAGCTCTTGCCCATTTTTTATTGGACTTTATTTTCCCCTCTTTGATATTTAGAAGTCACTTACACATTCGATATCTAATCCTTTGTTCTTTGTATAGATTACAACTACAGTCTCCCATTGTGTGGCTTGGCTTTCCATTGCATTTAGGGTGTATCTTGAGAGCAGTTCTTCATTTTAATTTAGCCAACTGTGTCTATCTTTTCCTTTATGTTGTTCTCTTTTGCCTTGTTAAATAAATCCTTTCTTGCCCTGAGATCCTAAAGATATTCTCCTATATTTTCTCCTAAAAGTTTTATAACTTTATCTTTCACAGTAAGTAGCCCCTTGTCTATTGCTACATTAACACAACACAGTCCTAATTACTGTAGCTCTGTAATAAATGTTGATATCTGGCAGCACCAGTCCCCATCTTATTCATTTTTATTAAGAATGTCTCTATAAATTTTGGCCCTTGCTATTTTACATAAATTTAAAAATCAGTTTTGTTAAAGAAAAAAGTGTGTGGGGATTTTGATTGCAGTGACTATAAATCAATTTGAGGAGAATTGTCATTTTTATTGTATTGAGTATTTCTATTCAAGAGCATGTCCTCTTCATTTATCAGTCTTTTTAAATGTATTTCAATAAAATTTTGTAATTGTTACCTTTAAAATATTTTCATGCCTTTGCCAAGATTTATTCCTTGGTATTTTATTTTTTAGCCCCTAGTGTAAATAATATTTTAAAATCATATTTTCTGTGGAAATGGAATTGATTTTTGTATCTTGATTTTGTATCAAACAGCTTTGCTAAATTAAGTTATTAATTCTAATAATTTATCTGTGTACTCATTTCGGTTTGCTGTATACTTAGTCATCATCTATCAATTTATGATGGTTTTATATCTTCCTTCTCAGTCTTTTTTAAAATGTATTTTATCTCTATTTCTTATATAACCACACTGCCTAAGACTTTCAGTCCAATATTGCATAAAGTGGTGATGATGAGTACCCTTGCCTTATCCCTAATCCTCTTTATCTGATTAAAGAAGTTCCCTATTATTATTA